TGAAAAAATTGCCCCTTACATTTTCAAAATAAATGATACTCAGGCACTGGAAGCTTATATGAAAAAAGGATTAAAAACGCTGCAACTCTTGATGTTGCAACACTGCGGGAAATGTCTTAAATGCCCACATTGTCTGCAAATACTTTTCATATTAATATCCACAATTGTCTGCAATTTCTGCAAATGCTTTCTATATCTACAATTATCCTCAGATAAAATCAAAGTTTATCTAAATAAAGTTATTTCTATAGTTATGTCTCCTAAGACTTTTTTTAATAGCAGAGATGAAATATGAAATAGATAAAAGAACTTGATATTTTACAAAAAAAAAAAAATGGTTCCCAAAAAGATCAAAAATTTTCCATACCATCTTTTCTTCAACAAAGGAGAACCTCTTCTATGAAGAGGTTCTTTATTGATCATTTGAACTTGAGAATACCAAAACTTGGTTTTTCTTAAAAAAAGAATGCAATTGGCCAGCAATTGTAAACAATCATCACTCCTAAACTAAAAAAAGATGACTAGAGCTCCAAACAAGTTGGTTCAGGTCAATGGGTCACAGATTAAGAAAATTACAAATGTAGATATATTAATTGATTTAAATATATACAGTTAGGGATGTTCCATTGCGCATGCTTGTGCATGACTTGCGCAACTTGCGCATGCAATTTTTAAAAATCTTGCATTTTCCCATAGAGAATTGTGTGTAACAAAAAAATTCTAAATTTATAATAATAATTATAATGGTTAATAAAAATATTTGGTTGCATTTTGAAAAGTTGGGCAGGGTGATTGGGTTTCAACAAAACCGTGTTAAATGTAAATATTGTAATTATGAATTATGTGAAATTGCTACAAGATGTGAAGTGCATTTTAAAAAATGTAAAGATGTACCTACACACGTTTTACAATCATTTTTGAGTTTTGGAATTAATGACAATAATGATAGTAATTCATCATCATCTTCTTCTTCTTCTTCATCACTGTCATCATCAACAACATCATCACTGTCATCATCGTCAACATCATCATCTTTATCACTGTCATCATCAGTGTATTTAAAAAATCAATCATTAAACTATTTTGTTGATAAAATATCAAAAAAAGAACAAGACGAGTTAGAAATTCTATTCGCAAAATCAATTTATCAGTGTGGGCTTTTTCTTTCTTTATCAGAATTAACACCAATTAAAAATTTATGGGCAAAAGCTCGTCCTTCATTTAAATTACCCGGAAGAAAAAAACTTTCCACCACTCTATTAGATAATGTATACGAAGAAACTAAACAAGAAGTTGATAAATTAATAGAGGAAGCTGAATATTATAGTTTGGTTTCAGATGGGTGGTAAGTTCTTAAATTATTTTTTATAAGTGTGTATATATTTTTTTTTTTAAATAAAATTAAAAATTTTAAAATTTTAAGGTCAAGTATCACTCAAGAGCACTGGACTAATTATATTTTGACTACTCCTGCACCTGTTTTCATAAAAGCCACACTACTGGAGAGATTTGCCAAACAAGTGATAATATAGCATCTGATCTTGAAAATATAATTAATATATTAGATATAAATAAACTTTCTTCTCTGGTAACGGATAATGCACAGGTGATGAAGAAGGCATGGAGTATTTTAATGGAAAAATATCCATCTATAATATATATAGGTTGTATTTCACATAGTTTGAATCTTTTAATTGGTGATATTATCAAGTTAGATTGGGTTGATGGCTTTTTAAAAAAAAGTAAAAGTATTGTAAAATTTTTTAAATCACATAATATTCCATCAGCTGTTTTTAAAAGATACCAACAAAATAATAATCAATCTCAAGCTTCGTTAAAATTACCAGTAAAAACTAGATGGGGTTCTTCTGTTATGTGTCTTGAATCATTAATACAAAATCGATTGGCTCTAGAATTAACTGTTACTGAATTATCTCGTAATATAAATGTTGATGTAAAATCAAGTATTCAAAGTGGAGAATTCTGGGATAATATAATTTCAATTCATGGTATTTTGAATAAAGTGTTTATTGGTATTAAATTATTTGAATCTGATGAACCAAAATTAGGCTTATTTTATGAGTGGTATCAGAATCTTTTAAATGCACAAAGTAATAATATTTTTAATATTCTTAGATTAATTTCAAAAATGTGTAATTTTTATTGTAATTATTATTAAATAATTGTTTTTTTTTAATAGCAAATTTTGATAATGAAATAAAGGACATTATTAAAAAAAGATGGAAGAAAATATATAGTCCTGTAATGTTAGTTGCTTATCTTCTTAATCCTAGGATTTCCGATCACAAATTACCTGAAAATGGTATGAATTTATTGTCAGATTTTATTGTAAAATTTTATCCTAATCACTCTGTTAAAATTTGGGAACAATTTCTACAATATAAAGCACACACTGGAATATTTAACAATTTATTGGCGTGGGCATCAGTTGATAAAGTGGATTTATTAACTTGGTGGAAAGGAAACTTTGGAGCTGTAGCACCTGAATTAACAAATGTTACTGCAAGAGTTCTTTCTATTCCTACCTCATCAGCTGCATCTGAGAGGAATTGGTCAACATTCTCCTATATACATGATAAAAAACGAAATAAATTGACAAATGATTGTACCTTTAAATTGGTTTATATATATTTCAATAATAAATTGAAAAATCCAAAAAATCCAAATAAAGCTACAAACGTAGGTAAAGATAATGATGTTATTGAGGTTAGTGATGATAATGGTGACGATGGTGATTATAGTGTTGATGATAGTGATGGTAGTGTTGAGAATAATTATGATGGCAGTAATAATGAAAGTGATTATGAATTATTAGATAATACATATTTTTAACATTTAATTAATTTTTTTTAATAAATAAATACATAAAATTTTTTGAAAAAAAAGTTGCACTGCAGATCATGCACAACTTGCGCAAGTTGTGCAAGTTGCGCATGAAATTTTAAAAATCCTTGCATTTTCCCATCCCTAATTACTATACTAACTCGAACTTTTGAATTATTCCATCTCTTATAAAAAATATTATCAAACATGCAATCCACTGATTCATTGAGAGAATTAAATACCAAGCTCTTAGCTGAGATTGCCAAACTTAGGAAGGAGAATACTGAAATTCCTGAACTTAGAGAGAAGCTACTAAGATTTGTTGAGGTTGAGGCTGAGAATGCAAGGTTGAAGCAAATTATTGAGGAGAATGCAAGGCGTGATGCTGAGAATGCTGAACTCAAGTCTAGAGTCAGAGAACTTGAGGCTAGACTTGCATTATTAGAACAGGGTTCAGCAGTGGATGGGATGGCATTGTCATTTGGTCAGACACAAAATGATAAAGAAGTGATGTCAGTGGTGACAGTACCAACTGTTGATGTACCCGGTTCTGTAATAGACCAACTCAATAATGAAGTAGGATGAGCACCTAGTAACCTTGATGGTAACGATGAGGAAATGGTCGATTTCTTGGATGAGGTGTGTAAGAAAAGCATTAGCAATGAGATTAGAAAGAGGAGGTGGGAAAAGAAACAGAGAGATCAAGAGGCACTTTTAATTTCTCAGGATGTGACTAAAATTCCTGAAGTCACAGACATGTTAACTTCAGAGCAAGACGAGCAAGGCTTGTCATAATCTTATGAGGCTAGTTCTGAGAGCATAAGTTCAGCATATTGCATCTTACCAAAGCAACCGCAAGTTAATGCATCCAAATTAGCATATAATCTTGAAAACTGTGAAGATTCTTCACAATTGGAGTCATGTGGCATAGAGGAACTTAAATCCAATCAGCATGATGAAGTTATTACCAATTTGGATAAAAATATAATTGTGGAACAGGAATTAAAGCAACAGTTATCGTCACCTGCACATACATCTAGATCAGATCAAACTTCAGAAGAACAGGATCCATCTTTAGATACCACACAAAATATAGTTTGCATGTTCAAGAAAGCTAATAAACTTGGTCAAGAAGCAATTTTATACTGGTGCTACTTTATAGAAAAATATGACAAAAGGATTGATAACTTTGTTGCTGGTGGAGTTAAGAAAAAAACTGCAACATCTATGGTATATCAAGAAATCAAACAGCTTCTACCTGAAATAACAGATGTGAATTTGCGTCAAAAAATCCTTAGAACTAGAAAATTATGTAAATTATTCAATACATTGGGACTAGAGAAAGTTAAACAGGTCTCTTATAGCACAGATGCCATTTCAAGTCTCAATTACCAACAAATCCAAGATATAATAGATTATGTGAATTCAGTAACAAGTTCACACAATGAAACCGTGAAGATTCTTCACGATCAGAGTCATGTGACTTCAAAAATTAATCCAACTAATACATATATTCCTCTGAAAGCACCCCAACTTATGATCGATCCTATTTTTGTAGCAAAACATTGGATCAATACACTATTTTATATAAAGAGTGTACTGATGGAAATGTTGATTATTATGGAATTACTGACAATACATCATGTCCATTATGCAGATTAGATCATGATGACATAGAAGGGGAATATAAAGATGGAACTTACTATATTAAATGTGAACAGCACATTGTTCAAATAGCTGCATAAACTGAAGCAGTCCTATCATTTCATTATGCTTTATAACTCATTAGTATGCAATAAAGAATAAAATATGTGCTTTACATGATATCCAAGAAATTAAATTGCTTTGAAATTATATAAATGACAACATGAATTCACAAGCCAAGTCTGATAAGGTACTAACCCCTGAATATCTGGATTGGTATTCTAAATTAACTGATTTGCCAACCATGATATCTGATAAACTTCATTCCAAGTTATATAAAATATATAAGGAAAAAACTGGACTCGATCCTTGGATAAAGTCTGAAACTTCTGAATCCCCACAAAGCGAAAATGCTGATAATCATATCCTACAAGACAGTTCACTGAAAACTCAGGTGAGGGTACTACAGATGAATGTTGTACCT